GTTCCTACACCAGCATGTTAGGCCAGAGAAAGTCAAAGTGGTGCTAGTGGAGGTCACTAATTCAGGTTCCTTAGATGAGGATTACCTACCTGAGACCCTGTCTGCGTTTCCACAGACATCTGCACCTGCACCAGGCCCCTGTGACACTGGAGATGCTGCCCCCTCCAATAAGGTAGACATTAAAGCCCTGTCACAAGAAATTAGGGCTATGTTTTAAGATGATATGGCAGTGCTGATGGAGTAAATGGCTGCTCTCACTGTCCAAATCGTCACAGCCAAAGTAGATCTGGGTGCTACACAGGTGGCACAAATCTGAACTAAGGACAGACATCACGCTCTTAGGAAACTTAATGAAAGCAATTTAGGAAAAGATGGAGGCAATTCAATTTAAAAGAATATCTGATGACTTTATCTAAGTTTATGGGTATATAAACTTCTGAGGATCATCCACTAATGGAGAGATGGCAAAGGGTCTTCAGAACAAATGGCATATGAGAACTGATACCCAGAAATGTGATTGTTTGCTTTAGATAATTTAGAACCAAATAATTGTTCTTGGCACACAGTAGAGATAATCTCAATGCCAGTTAATATAATAAGAAGAGAGGGACTTAGCAATCAGAGGGCAATCAAAAGAGATAATATAATAAATGGCTAATTGGGCAACACATATTGTTAGAGGCCTAAACCCATCATATAAAAGATCGTTACTTGGTAAATTTATAAAGAAAGTGAAAATGAAGGTCTGTTATATACAAGAAACAAATTGGATTAAGGCAAATGTTAAAAGGATGATGTTTAATGGTTATAATAATATGTTTTAAGCTTCTCTTGAAACAGAGGGGTTGCTATTTTAATAGCAGACTATTCATTTAGAAATAAAATGGAACTATATAGATCCAGAAGCTAGATTTGTGATTGTGGTTTGTAAACTGATGAACAACAGTTCACCCAAGTGAATGTATATGCCATAAATAATAACCAAGGTAATCTCATTACATTTTTTAATAAATTAATTGGATAAAGTCAAGTAAAGTAAATTGATTATGGCAGTGTGTTATATGGTATTAGAAGTTACAAGAGACAAAAAAAAAAAAAACACTATGAAATGACATTTCCAAACAAATTAATCAGACAATCAAAATGTATGCAAAATATAATAAAGGTAAATTTTAAAAGAGTTTTTAATCTGTCGGAATCTGATTGTATACACTATTGAGGAGTACATAATTCATATGCAAGACTAAAACTTTTGAATGTATGATAAATATTGTAATCAAAGAAACAGTTTGCACTGATCATAATGCAGTCATATTGTATCTAAAATAACATACACAACAATAGAGCTACATGGAAAATAAAAATTGGAATATATACAAAAGGAATGCCAGAAAACTACATCCAGTGAAATAGCATTAATGAAAACATGGTGCACATTCAAATGTGTAATGTGCAGATATTTCATTTAAATGAGATGCCTTCTGGAAAAAGCAAAAAATGATAACAGATATGTATATATAACTTTATATACTTATATAAAATTTAAATAGGAAAAATAGAATCTGCAAAGATTATTAACATTCAATCGGATATTAATGATAAATTCATTAAAATGACTAAAGATACAATTTTACATTTAATCAGATATTATATCATAAAGAAAATAGGGAAAATCATATGTTGACTGACAAACTTAAAAATACAATTTCAAATAAATATATTTTCAAAATAATTCAGGATGAAAAATAATTATTTCTACAAACTTATATTCAATATTGTACAAAAAATACTTAGGGACATGTTTTCTAGATGATTATAGAGGGATCCCCATCTGGAGTTATTACAGGTAAACAAATTGATTATACCCAGGCCCTACAGGGTTCAAACTAGAATAGGCAATTACTGTCCAATTTCTATAACTGCGATAGGAAATTCTATGCAGCAATATTGCTACATAAACTGGAACTGATTATGCCAAGCCTGGTGCACAAAGACCAAGTGGGTCATAATTGATAGGCCAGCAATCACCTTAGAAGGATAATTACAGGGAGTGCAGAATTATTAGGCAAGTTGTATTTTTGAGGATTAATTTTATTATTGAACAACAACCATGTTCTCAATGAACCCAAAAAACTCATTAATATCAAAGCTGAATATTTTTGGAAGTAGTTTTTAGTTTGTTTTTAGTTTTAGCTATGTTAGGGGGATATCTGTGTGTGCAGGTGACTATTACTGTGCATAATTATTAGGCAACTTAACAAAAAACAAATATATACCCATTTCAATTATTTATTATTACCAGTGAAACCAATATAACATCTCAACATTCACAAATATACATTTCTGACATTCAAAAACAAAAACAAATCAGTGACCAATATAGCCACCTTTCTTTGCAAGGACACTCAAAAGCCTGCCATCCATGGATTCTGTCAGTGTTTTGATCTGTTCACCATCAACATTGCGTGCAGCAGCAACCACAGCCTCCCAGACACTGTTCAGAGAGGTGTACTGTTTTCCCTCCTTGTAAATCTCACATTTGATGATGGACCACAGGTTCTCAATGGGGTTCAGATGAGGTGAACAAGGAGGCCATGTCATTAGATTTTCTTCTTTTATACCCTTTCTTGCCAGCCACGCTGTGGAGTACTTGGACGCGTGTGATGGAGCATTGTCCTGCATGAAAATCATGTTTTTCTTGAAGGATGCAGACTTCTTCCTGTACCACTGCTTGAAGAAGGTGTCTTCCAGGAACTGGCAGTAGGACTGGGAGTTGAGCTTGACTCCATCCTCAACCCGAAAAGGCCCCACAAGCTCATCTTTGATGATACCAGCCCAAACCAGTACTCCACCTCCACCTTGCTGGCGTCTGAGTCGGACTGGAGCTCTCTGCCCTTTACCAATCCAGCCACGGGCCCATCCATCTGGCCCATCAAGACTCACTCTCATTTCATCAGTCCATAAAACCTTAGAAAAATCAGTCTTGAGATATTTCTTGGCCCAGTCTTGACGTTTCAGCTTGTGTGTCTTGTTCAGTGGTGGTCGTCTTTCAGCCTTTCTTACCTTGGCCATGTCTCTGAGTATTGCACACCTTGTGCTTTTGGGCACTCCAGTGATGTTGCAGCTCTGAAATATGGCCAAACTGGTGGCAAGTGGCATCGTGGCAGCTGCACGCTTGACTTTTCTCAGTTCATGGGCAGTTATTTTGCGCCTTGGTTTTTCCACACGCTTCTTGCGACCCTGTTGACTATTTTGAATGAAACGCTTGATTGTTCGATGATCACGCTTCAGAAGCTTTGCAATTTTAAGAGTGCTGCATCCCTCTGCAAGATATCTCACTATTTTTGACTTTTCTGAGCCTGTCAAGTCCTTCTTTGACCCATTTTGCCAAAGGAAAGGAAGTTGCCTAATAATTATGCACACCTGATATAGGGTGTTGATGTCATTAGACCACACCCCTTCTCATTACAGAGATGCACATCACCTAATATGCTTAATTGGTAGTAGGCTTTCGAGCCTATACAGCTTGGAGTAAGACAACATGCATAAAGAGGATGATGTGGTCAAAATACTAATTTGCCTAATAATTCTGCACTCCCTGTAATATACTAGAGAAAACAACAAAATTGAAGACTGCAATGACCATCTTAACCCTCGATGAGGCATTCGATGGGCTGGATTGAAGTTTTCTAGAACAGGTACTGGATGGGTTTGGGATTCCTAACCCAACCCTAACCATACTCCTAACCCAACCCTAACCCAACTCCTAACCCAACCCTAACCCTAACTCGACTCTTAACCCTAACCCTACTCTTAACTCAACCATAACCGTAACCCTAACCCTACTCCTAATCCTAACTCAACTACTCCTTACCCAACCCTAACCCTACTCCTAACCCTAACCCTAATCCTACACTTAACCTAAATCCCGAAGTGCCGAATTCCCGAAGTTCGGTCCGAATGGACAAATCCTAACCCAACCCTAACTCTACTCTTAACCTAGCTCTAACCGTACTCCTAACCCAACCCTAACCCTACCCCTAACTCGACTCTTAACCCTAACGCTAACCCTACTCTTAACTCAACCATAACCGTAGCCCTAACCCTACTCCTAATCCTAACCCAACTACTCCTTACCCAACCCTAACCCTACTCCTAACCCTAACCCTAATCCTACACTTAACCTACGTCCCGAAGTGCCGAATTCCCGAAGTTCGGTCCGAATGGACAAATCCTAACCAAACCCTAACTCTACTCTTAACCCAACTCTAACCGTACTCCTAACCCAACCCTAACCCAACCCTAATCCCTACTCCTAACCCAACCCTAACCCTACCCCTAACTCGACTCTTAACCCTAACGCTAACCCTACTCTCAACTCAACAATAACGTAACCCTAACCCTACTCCTAATCCTAACCCAACTCCCAACCCTAACCCTACTCCTAACCCTAACCCAACCGTAACCATACTCCTTACCAACCCTAACCCTACTCCTAACCCTACCCCTAACCCTACCCCTAATCCTACACTTAACCTAAGTCCCGAAGTGCCGAATTCCCGAAGTCCCTAATTTTGGAAGTGCCGAACCGAAGTGCCAAAGTGCCGAATTGCCGAAGTCCCGAATTGCCAAAGTGCTGAATTTCGGGATGCCGAATCGAACCAAATTTTTTACCCATGCACATCCCTAATTCCCTGGTACAATATCTACTAACATGTTGGTATAATTAACAAAAAAAAAAGAAAGGAATTCCACAAATCAATACCTAGTGATTACAGAAACATAGAAACATAGAATGTGACAGCAGATAAGAACCATTTGGCCCATCTAGTCTGCCCAATTTTCAAAATACTTTCATTAGTCCCTAGCCTTATCTTATAGTTAGGATAGTCTTATGCCTATCCCACGCATGCTTAAACTCCTTTACTGTGTTAACCTCTACCACTTCAGCTGGAAGGCTATTCCATGCATCCACTACCCTCTCAGTGAAGTAATACTTCCTGATATTATTTTTAAACCATTGTCCCTCTAATTTAAGACTATGTCCTCTTGTTGTGGTAGTTTTTCTTCTTTTAAATATAGTCTCCTCCTTTACTGTGTTGATTCCCTTTATATAATTAAATGTTTCTATCATATCCCCCCTGTCTCGTCTTTCCTCCAAGCTATACATGTTAAGATCCTTTAACCTTTCCTGGTAAGTTTTATCCCGCAATCCATGAACCAGTTTAGTAGCCCTTCTCTGAACCCTCTCTAAGGTATCAATATCCTTCTGAAGATCCAGTCTCCAGTACTGTGTACAATACTCCAAGTGAGGTCTCACCAGTGTTCTGTACAATGGCATGAGCACTTCCCTCTTTCTACTGCTAATACCTCTCCCTATACAAACAAGCATTCTGCTAGCATTTCCTGCTGCTCTATTACATTGTCTGCCTACCTTTAAGTCATCAGAAATAATCACCCCTAAATCCCTTTCCTCATATGTTGAGGTTAGGACTCTATCAAATATTCTGTACTCTGCCCTTGGGTTTTTACGTCCAAGATGCATTATCTTGCACTTATCCACATTAAATGTCAGTTGCCACAATTCTGACCATTTTTCTAGTTTACCTAAATCATTTGCCATTTGGCTTATCCCTCCTGGAACATCAACCCTGTAACATATCTTAGTATCATCAGCAAAAAGACATACCTTACCATCCATTAGACATTACAGCAGTATACGCTTCGGATATAAATATAAAAGAATGGATATATAAGAGTATAGATGGGATTGAAGACCTAATACAAGGAGAGACGGCTTCCACAAGACTTTAGATGGAATGTCAAATTGCAAATAAGGACTTATTCAAATATCTTAGAATTAAGAACTTCCTCATAAATGTAATAATTAAAACCATCCGTAAACCCAATATCTGGGCCTAAGCTTTGTGGTATAAAATGTTATTAATCAATTACAATAAAGGGAAAAATGGGAGAGAGATTTAATGGCCACGGGATATGAAGAGTAGGCAGTATTATTCTGAATTTGAAGATGTATGTTCACTGTCTAAACCTTTTGGAACTCCAATATAAACTTATACAGAGAACTTACTTATTGCCTTCAATAATAGATAAAAAGTTTCTGAGATTCTGCATTGTTTGCTGGAGACGTCAGATAGATATCGGTACATTTATACACAATTGGTGGATTTGTTAAAGCCTGTCTTCTTTTTAGAATACAGTCTATAGGTACATAACAAGCTAAAGATAAGGGTTCCAAACACAGCAATAAGTGCACCATTACATTTAGAATGGCCCAAATCGAAGAAAGTAAAAATAATCCTCTCAATATATATTGATAGCTGCCAAATATTTTCTAGCTAAGAGATGGAAAATACAATATTTACCTGCTTAGGCATTGCTTTCGAATCAGATAAAATATCAACTAGAGATGGGGAAAAATAGGAATCAAATCTCAGTCCAAGGATATATTACTTGGAAGCAGGCTTTTGAAGATTATAATGGCATGAAATAATCCCATATGATGGCTGAAACCAACTAGATTTATTCTTCTCTACCTATTTTATCCTCTCTAAAAGTGTAAATATAAATAAAGATAGATTAGTAAAACAGGAGAATGTGAACCCGGAGTGACATCCTGTCTATTTGTATTTGTGTGTCTTTTATTTGTTAGTGCTATATGTTATTATAATGGTTATTTAATGATTTTATTTCATGTGAAGAGTGATACATGTATGTTTGTGTTCTTTGTGTCGTGTTCATTATCTGTTTTACATAATTATAAAATTACAGTAATTTTGGTATAGTCAGCAAAACACTTTAGCACAAAGCAAATATCCAGTATGGAAAAATCTGCAAAAACTGCTCCCAAAAAGGACTTGCTAGGACATACCCTGATTAAAAAAAAAACATTTTAAAAGTGGCAGAGGAATCATGAATCAAAGACGTTTTAATAACTATATATAAATATTTTTTTTTATCAAAATGATTCTTTATTTATTCTTTTCCACATCGCAAAAAAATGGCACATTTCAATTCACTATTTAAACCTTGTGAAATAAAATTGAAAATAAACCTCATTAATTCTTGCCCTATCTTTTTATTAAAATCACACCTCGCCAATCAGTTACTTGTTTAAGTACACAAAATTTAAGATCCCTAGGATTCAGCTAAGTTCAAAACCTTTCCTAATGTTACATTCAGGTTCAGCTATTCTAACATATAGCGGACAGGTGGTTCTACCAATTTAGTTAAATCTACACAGGCATATGAAGAGACATGATTTGTTTCTGAAAAACAAGTAATGGGATTCTTATTGTTAGGTTAATTTCATCTTCTCATCAACTTTGTAATATGACTTTTAGGACAATTTGTATTTTTGCATGCTGTTCACAATCCACAGCCAAAGAAAGCTTCACATACATTAAAAATTATCTAACTCCTCTGTGTATATTCACATGTTTATCAAGGAGTACAGACTATAAAATAGTCCAAATATTTATAAATAATATTCCTTGCTTTTTTAATTGTTGCCACTAAAATCACAAATAAAAAGGGACCTACTACTAAAAGTACTTTTCTTTTGAAAGTTATACTTCAAAAGGTTGTCCCATTTTACTTTTTTAATTGACTAATTGAGCAATTAAAATAGCTTTCTTTTCAAATAGTTTTTTAATCATCTGGACTTATTGTATAATATCTAGTTCCTTACTACAGTTACATCTATCTCGAACAAACTGTCCCTTGGGCCCATTCATTAAACAAGTAGGATAATAACAACTGATATGTTTTAATCAAGGGGGTAGTGACAACTGTAATTTATTATCCAAGTGGGTCAATAACAACTGAGATATTACTGTCATTTTCTGCTGAAGAGCAATCTGTATGCTAAATGTGTGTCTATATCCTAACTGCTAGCTATGTATTGCAAATTTGAAACAACTAAAAAAAACATTAAGGATTCACTCATTTGACACCATTAAAATAATTCACTGTACACAAATTAATTTACAAGCTAAGAACAATATTTTTGTAGCATATAACACACAAACACATTATACACAGTATAGAAACAGAGAACACTAAGAATTATCAACAAAATATTTCATTATTTTTGGTCTTGTAGCACATCTTGCTGGAGTGGAGGTGGAGGTACCCACTTGTTCTATGTAGTGATAGCAGTAATCTGGTTTATTATTACTCATGCCGTAAACTAGATGAGAAATTGGATAAAATCCAAATTAAATTGTAGAAAGCTGGATAACTTATATATGAAATGTGCAAAGCCACAAAACTAAGGCTGTCTTTGATCTTTCCCAGGAGTTGAGTATTGCAAGACTAAAAGAATTCATTGCAAGAAATAATTTTAGTTCTGGAAGTTAATGAAAAACCAGCATGTGAAATTTATGGAACCAAGAGAAAGCAAAGGGCTCCTTTTTTAGGGTCGTAAAAAAACCACAGGAATCCTTAAAATGCTAGAGTTCCCTGTTCATGTACATACTAAAGCATTAAATATTTCAAACTGATTTATTATGTATCATGGTGACACATTATGGTCATTGCATGTTCCTTAAGGTCATTGGTTCGTTTAAACCAAAGGTGGGGAGTTGATGTGTATATCAAAACTTTTTCTAAATATATCCATGAGTAGCTAATGTCAATCTATGCTAAGACATGAAAATATAAATTATACTTAATTTATTTGGCAAAATAATAATTAAGATAAATTGCTCAAGCTCAACCTCCCTTTCCTCTGATATCATTTAGGGAAGCATGGCTTCCATTATCAATACTCCAAGTTTATGACATGCAAGTCATGCTATGGGATTATGCTGTTGCAGATTATGTGGTGGGCCCTAAATTTGGACCCTGCATAAGGCTCTAAGAAAATTCAGAGCTTTGAAATTAGGGAGGATTACAATCATAGGTAGATCTCGCAAGAGTGTGCTAGATCATTACCACATATGATAAATGCAATCCTTTTGCTCAAAGGTGTTCTTGTTAAATTTTGGATTCCATTTAAGTATATTGATTTTCCAGTAATGTCTAATAAACTAAAGCTGTTTTCAACATTTTTTTTTTTTAAATGAAAAACTAGTTGAAACGGATCTATAAGAGGAAGTATCTGTAGGCAGGGACATCTATCATTTGTCTCCTTTCCGTAGGTTGTTGGTTTATTTAGTTGATTCCTCTATTGACTGACTTTATTGGTTGATTCTTATTTTTATTTTTTTTAAAGGTAATGATTTTGCATTTATCATTTGGCATAACTCACTGAGTTGTTGGATAATGCTGATATTCTAAAGGATGGAATCCATACTTATCATGACAATTTCGACAAATTTAAAAATGCTTTGGTGTTGTTCTGGGATGCTTTGCTGATGACAAAGTTTGTTCGGGAGTCAGATTTTTAGTTCACATCCATGCATTCTGATTCCTTACATCTACATTTGTATGTTTTACACAGCAGTTTTTATAAACCCCTTGAGGACGGAGGCAATTGTACAAGTTCAGATAAAAAAAATGTAAACAAAACCTGGAATGGTGTGAAAAATGCAAAAAAACATTGACCACTTATTTCAGTGTTTGTGACTAAGTGGCTACTAAAATAGACTGGACATACTCCATTTGCAATACCGTGGGTTGTCTACTTTTGTAAGTGGTATGCCATGATGGGAGTAATTCTCATTTCTGGGCTACCATACGGTCTCAAAGGCAACATAACAAATCTGGCAAATTTCGATGTGAAACAAAATGAAATGCAAACCTCTATTTGACTCTGTAAATTATGAAGACACCATAAACCTGTATATGGGGGATACTGTTATACTCTGGAGACTTTGCTGAGCACAAATGTTAGTGTTTGAAAATAGTAAAATGTATTATAACTATGATATCGTCAGTGAAAGCGCTGCCGTTTTTTTCTTTTTATAACAACGTACTGCAATAAAAGTTAATCAACCGAGTAATGTCTAAAAACTAAAAAATAATCTTAAAATAAAAATAATAAATAGTTGGATTACAGAGGTGGATATGGGGTGCTCTTCCCTGGGTAAGTGAGAGTAGTACATATCCAGAAAGCTCTGAAGGAAGTGGGAAGGATTCACCCCGCAAGGTATGATATCGGTTAACAAGGAGGCTGACTAGGAACCAAGGGGGGAGGGAATGGGATGAGAGGCCATTATTGTAACCTCAGTGCGATTGTACTATGGTGAGTGGACTCTAAGGTGCCCGTTATGGTGGTTACGTGGTGGGCTTATGGAGTCTGGACCAGTGTACATATATATATATATGTAAAGAAAAGAAAAAATAAATTTAGCATTAACCAAAGGTATTGAGCAATGGTATTAAACTAGTCTTGGTGGAAAGACCCCAGGTAGCTGTAGGCGCAGCCAGTCAGATGGCATCCCAGGAGGTTGAGGGTCATGGAGATGCACGTGGAGTAAACTCTGTAATTGTGGAGGAGTCCAGGTTGGACAGGCTAGCCGATGTAGGAATGTCTCTAGCTCCTGATAACTCTTTGCTCTGGGTGTAGCTCTTTGATGTGTGAAGAGCAGCAGTCTTGGTGTCCCCCATCGGTTTGCGACATTTCTGGATCGGAGTTGCTGCAGGAGAGGTTGCCAGGCTTTGTGCCAGGTAAGTGTGCTCCTGGTGAGGTCAGGGAAAAACTGCAGCATGCAAGTGCGTCATTTAGTTCTCTTGCTAGCTCCATCCCACATTTTAAGTGTATTTTAATATCAAATATATTAAAATACACAATAATAAAAGTTTATATTAAAATACACTTTTAATAATGGTTGCTGTGGATCAAAAAAAAAGGTTTGATTATTTGAAAAATCTTCCCCTGTCCAAATTATTAAGTGTAATTTGGACACGCTCCTGAAGTAATTCACACCAGACAAGTTTCAGGTTAATGAAGAACTTGAGGAATTTTTAATCGGGGGGCCGGCGTGCTGCTTATAAAGAGAGAATACATCATATGCATAATTATAGATAACAGAGGAAAAAAACATTAACAATTGGTTAGGTGTTAAGTGGTTCATCTATTATACATCCTAGGGTGTGATGTCACTTATCATGAAATGCTCCTCCAGATTCCAGTGCCATCTTGGTTAGTCGATGGGAGGGGGAGTTTCTAGCAGCCTCTTCTGAGCAGTTAATGAACACAGGAGGGGAGGGGCTAATAATCTGGCAGCTAGAAGCTCCCCCTAACACAGTAAACATTGAATAATACTGAGTACAGTTATGCAGAGTAAATAGGCATTTTAGTAAGCTAACATGTCCATAAACAGTGTGTATGTATATGCATATAAAAGTTTATTTTTTTTTGGAAATAATAAACTGTTCTATGAAATTTACTAACTTTTTAGAACTTTTTAAGAGGCATAGTGGGGACTGCCTGACATATCAGGCAATTCCATGCAGGCAGAGCTGCAGACAGGCCAAATGTGCTGGATGGGGGATTGCCTGGGCTCTCAGACAGTCCCCAGGATAACGACCGTTGGCAAGGTTAACCACAGGGACCCGATAAGTACAAACAATGGCAGGGATGTTGTATGCAGCCCTGCAGCATTCTATACCGTCGTTACTGGGTTAAACAAGTGCCTAAAGATGCTTCCAAAAAGGCTACAAAAAATACAAACTAAAACACTGAGTTGGTCAGTTTATTTAGCATTTTTGCTTTTTTGTCTTCAGTTACAGTCATGATTTGTATGCTTTTTCTCTTTGTGTATTTTATATGTTGTATATTTTGTACTACCGACTATATAGTCTTTGTAATAAAGTACACTTTATATAACTGAGTGAGTCTCTCAAACATTCCATAGAGAAGCCAAGGGATGTGCAAAAATAACAGCATAAATAAAGTTTTTATTTTTAACACACAATATCTCATTTATAGCATGTCAACAATCTGGTTAAAAAATACACTAAAGGAAGTGCAAACTTTGAGTTGGATTTATGAGCTCTAAGTAAGTAAATAATACCTAACTAGGCACCAGTAATTCCAAATATTGTATTTGTTCCTGACCTTCATCAGGATTACATGTGAAGTGCTGAACAAATAAAAATGCATGTCATTCAGACTAATTTGCAAATTAACTTATTTTTTCCACTACCTCTGTGACTTCTAATATTTGTGGAGATTAACTTGAATGTATGAACATTTAGTTTGTTAATTGAGGAAAAGTAATATAACATATTATCCTTTGGTCTGGGAGGCCCAATAAATTACTTGTATGCCTGTCTTGTTATTGTGATGCTCTTTCAGTTACTCTTCTCATTGCCACCATTTTAAATTACTTAGCTACTGAATTGGAAATTTGCTTAAGCTTTGCCCATTGACAGACTCAGTGTAAACCAGAGAAGCATTGGGAAAGAATGTGGTTGATGTCGGAGGTGACCAAGATTTCCAAACACTTAGGGTCTCTCAAAGATGGCGGCGCCCTGAATAAAGATCGGGGCAGAAAATAAGGAATAAAAAATAGGTAATGTGGGGGCTTAGGGGCATTTGGGGGTGACTAGGGTGTCAGAGATAGTGGAGGCTGGAGGGGGGGGCAAAAAAAAAAACAGGAGTCGGCATGACAGTTAAAAAAACAGCATGACACCCTAGTCACCCCCAAATGCCCCTAAGCCCCCCACATTACCTAATTTTTTATTCCTTATTTTCTGCCCCGATCTTTATTCAGGGCGCCGCCATCTTTGTGTGGGTAGAGGAAGTCCCTGTGGGACACGTCATCAGCCCACATTAGACAGACTGAGATTCCCGCACATGCCCAGTGAAACACCTTGACATGTGAACGGGAATTTCATCTATTCATTCATTCATCAGAAAGACGAATGAATGAATAGAAAAATCAGATGAACAAACAAACACTGAACATCAGTGATCGTTTGTTCGTTCAGTTTATTACAAGGAGGGAGCTACCGGCACGCAGCTCCCTCTTTGTAATATGTAAAGATAGAAGCGGCAGGGAGCAGTGCTCCCTGCCACTTCATAAGCCCCCCAGGTCCCCCCTCACTCTATGGGGGTCAATATGACCCCCATAATAGCACAAGGGAGATTAAAATCTCCCCAATGCCTTACCGCGAGTAAGGCCATGTCTACTAAACAGTGAGCAGCCTGTGACTGCTCACTGTAAAAAAAACTATTGGCCCCCACCCCTAAACGACGGGTGGGGGCCCTAAAGTAAAATAAGGGGGGGAGACCTATTGTGGCCAATTTAGGTCTTTCAGCCTTTTAGTAGATAGCTCCCTGATACCGTGGGAATTAGGGAGTTATCTACTAAGCGGCTGCAAGGTGCAGCCACAGCAAGAATAGGATCGGAGTTTCATTCATTCAAATGAAATTCCGATCCGAATAAAGTGCCGAATTGCGTTCTAAAACAAACGAACATACTGTTCTCATTTAGTTAGAACGCAATTCGGCAGTTTCATGTAAAATGACAGGAAGCATCGTGGGAACACAGAGGAAAGGTAAGAATTATGGGAAAATTGCTCTGACCAGCGGAAATGAAGCACACTTTGCTCCTCCGCTGGTCAGAGCTGGTCAAGCGGAGGAATCCTCCATAAGGCAAAGAGTTCCTACTTTGTCTTATGATTTTAAAGAAAACTAAAGAAGACAGGAAGAAAAGAAGAACAGATCCTGAGAGAGGGGAGAAGAGGAAGAGATTGAGGAAAGGTAAGTTCAGCATGACAGTGCCGCTTTAACATTTTGCTGTTAAAAACATCCTGTTGTGCTAGCTGACTTCTAGCTGTCCTGACATAATGCAGGACCCTTAGTTTATACTACCTCTGCCTGTACATAGTGTACAGGCAGAGGTTTTTATGTGGACATGTGAAGAATCCATTTTAAACCAGCACTGGTGTTTGAGGTATCTTGTGGCACTCTCAGAAGAATGAATAAAACATGTTGGCATACATGATACTAAAGTGACATTTGATACTGATAGGCTACTGATGTGGAATTTGTTCTAATAATGGACCACGAGGGTCAGGCTAAAGTTAGTGACCTGGACATCAGTGTATCTGCACTATTCAACATAAACTGGTTGCTAATAGGTGAAAACAAAGACATGAGCAGTATCGGCAAGGCATTAATAACAATGGGACACAAATCATGGGCTTAGGGGTTACAAACATCAATATATATATACAGCTCTATGATAATGCTTTAAACATTTGCCTGCCTTTAGAGTTTAGCTTTACTAAGCTAAACCACCAGGAAGTAACTTGACTTACTGTCAGGGGGAGGAGCGGGGGGTAACAAGGTTATATATAAAAGTGCGAGTTTCCATTGAAATCTGCACTTTTTGTAAAATGAAACAAAGAGGACACACTTAACATATATAAATCTTTAGCAATCTAAAGTGTCCCTTTAAAAACAAATCTGGACCTGTCTAAATCCAAACATAGGATGTAGTATCAGAATTTAGCAAATTTTTGATTCATATTGTTAAAAAGAGAAGGCATTACCGCCCGGTTATTACTTTGAAAACTATGTTAACTAGCACATCATATCATTCTAAAACTATATCAGATTTATTTATTTTTTGTACTGAGGAAAGGTGAGAAGAGCAGTATGCTTTGAAGAGAGTCATTATACGTTAATTTTATAAAGTGGCCTCTTAATGACTGAATTAATAAACAGTGACTTTATTGTATAATGGAAAGTTATATATCATCAAGAAGCTAATTATATAATTTAAGCATCACAAGCAACATGATCATGATTTGCAATGAGCAGTTTGCACGTTCAATATTGGGTGCTCAAGCTGTATAAAGTCTATAAAAACAAGAAAAAAAAATTACAACTCTGCAGGTCTAAAGAGTAAACCAGCAAGTTTATTAAGCCATCTAGAGCTATATCTGGTTTTGAGATGCTGACATGTTACATGGCTAAATAATCCTACTGGCTGATTTTGAAATTTGAATCTTGAATTTGGAGTCATGGTGTGTCTTTCATTTTTCTGTCTGTGTAACTGCTATTGTCATGATCTTGAGCAGGTCAGATAGGAGACTTTGGCCAGGGTTGTTATTTGAGACTTTATTGGTGCTCTTAGACATATTATGAAACTTGAGGCAAAATAGAATTTAAGTAATATGCCACAAAACTGGATACTTGCAAATAATACAGAAAGTCTGTGATCTCCAGGTAGGGTTGAAACAAAGGCAGATTGGTATCAAAAGCAGGCTGGTTATAGAGGCAGGCTGGTTATAGAGGCAGAGGTCACAAATCATACGTAAGTCTGGAGCAGGTTGGTATGGAGCAGGTTCACAGGAGTCAGGAACTGAAGTCTTTCAGGCAAATCACCAACTTCCATGCAAAGGCCCTGTTGTGAGCAGGGTGTAGCCTTATGAAACCTCTTCATTAGTCCAGGCAGGTGAGGATGATAAGGTGACTGAGGAGATTAGTGGTTAGGGAGGCCACTAGAGGCAAGAAACAAGTATTACAGGAAATAATAACAGAAGAAAATTAAACATGTTCCTGGTTGTCAGGATTGGATCCTGACAGCTATTGATGATTAGGAAATATATTGATCATCGTACTAATCTATCATTTTCCAGCATCTTTCTATTATACAAGATATAATAGAAACATAGAATGTGACGGCAGATAAGAACCATTCGGCCCATCTAGTCTGCCCAAT